AATGACTTCTTTGCAAGGAGGACTATTGTCTATGACTATGCTTATACGAGTGATAATGTAGTGTTTCTCAACTTAGAATGAATACACGAGCATTCATTAGGTTATGTTCTATGCTTGAGACAATAAGAAAGCTAAAACACACTAAAAACATGGAGATTGATGAGCAAATGCCTATTTTTTTGCATATCCTTGCACATCATGTGAAAAATCGAGTGATAAAACAACAATTTAAGAGGTCTAGTGAGACTATTAGTAGGCACTTTCAGAATGTATTGAATACTGTAAAAAGATTACAAAGGCATTTGCTCAAGACTTCTAAGCCAGTACTAAGAAAATTCCATAAATGAGAAATGGAAGTGGTTCAATGTATCTAACTTTATCTAAATTAATTTTATGTTCATGCATCTCAACCTATATATAAATATGTTTTGTACTTGATTTTTTAGGGTTGTGTTGGAGCCTTAGATGAGGCACATATAAATGTTCATGTGCGAACTGAGGACAAGCCTAGGTATCGATTCCGGACAAGAGATATTGCCATTAATGTCTTAGGATTATGCTCACAAAACACGAACTTCATTTATGTATTACCTGGTTAGGAAGGGTCAGCGGTAGATGGTAGAGTGCTTAGATATGTCATGATTAGAAAGAATGAATTGGTGGTACCTATTACCTTGTGGGTGTGGGATATATGAACGGCGAGAGATTTTTTGTCCCATTTAGAGGTCAAAGGTATCGCTTAAAAGAATGGAGAGATTATCACCAACCTAAGACACCTGAAGAGTTCTTTAATATGAAGCATTCTTCTGCTAGAAATGTAATTGAAAGATGTTTTGGGCTGTTGAAGAAACGTTGGGCTATTTTAAAAAGTTTGTCTTCCTACCCCATCAAAATACAAAATCGTATAATAATTGATTGTTATTTGCTTTACAACTACATCAGGGATCAGATGCTGATAAACCCAATCGAGACGGAGGAAGATGGATCAGGTCTTGTGGTGAAAAATAATGCACATGATGATCATATTGCCATGATTGAAATATCTAACAAGTGATCAATATTTAGATTAAATTTGGCAAATAAAATGTTTGATGAATGGAGAGTAAGTAAACAAAGAGTGTAATATTTTTTTCGTCTGGATTTGAGAATGATTTTGTTTCTTGGAATTCTATTTCTTGGAATTCTACCTCCAATGCTATTGAAATGAAATGAATGGAATTTAAGAATTTCATGAATGAAATTTAAGATTTTTTGTTTTTATTCAACTTGTTTTATGTATACTGTTGATTATTTTTTGGGCTTGTTTCTTATCAATTTATTTTTTTAATTCAACCTACATTTTTGGATAAAATTCCTAATTGCATTGATAGTTTTTTTTTTTTTTTGGTTTGCACAAGTGTTCAATTGTATTCACAAAGAACTATAGTTGTTCATCTGAAATAAGTGACCAATTTTTGATAATTTTCAGTTTTGGTTTCTTTTTCTGAACTTATTTTTGGAGGATTTTTTTTTTCTAATTTTTTAAAATTTATAGGGGTTCAAACTTTTTTAATGGATTCTCATTTTTTTTATAATTACAAATTTTATTATATAGAACTTTTATGCATATCTGCAATCATAAAAATTATTATTAATTATTTTTAGTCACTATGAATATTTTGTTCAAAATTGATTCCATTCTAATGAAAAGTTTATTTTATGGAAATATAAAAATGAAATAGATATTTCATTGCAACACTTAATCCTAAACAACTGTTAAACATTAAAATGATAACGTGCATTTTATTCCATTCTAAAGTTCATTTCATTTTCAAACTTACTTCATTCTTACTTAAAAAGTATTATTACGTATCAAATGTTGCGTAACACTAAGAGTAATAGACTTAATAATAATAAATAAATAAAAACTAAATGGGTAGATCAACTGCCGGAAAGTGTTTACTAATGTGGGAAGGTATGATAAATGAAATTCCGTGATTGACGGAATCAGAGTAATCCAAACTATGATTTAAAAAGATAGTGCAAGACACTGGAAATCTTATTTTCAATAATAAATGTACTGGTAAGTACAAAGATGCACATGTTGTCTATGTAGGTATTGACTAGAGGGTTTGAATTGAAGAACGACAATGCAGGAGCTTGCTTTTCTTTAGTTGTGACCTACACCACACCTGCACCACCTTTGAAAATTATGATTCTTTTGAGGTTACATGTGACATAAAAAAGATTTTGGCAACACCATGTTTCTGCACTTGAATATTTTTTTTTTCAATGATAAAAAATTTTCAGACCAATTTATGTATATTAATTAATTTTTTTTGTTGGTTTAGTTAAAAACAGATCATTCATATTAATACTATGATATTTATAAGAGATAAATCTATTATAATTTGATCCCAAAATATTTCTAAAATTCAAATTCAAATTCAAAATATTGACACCGTTGAAACAACACTTTGATCAGACTTAGGTGAGTCTTTACCGCCGTCAACATCTTTTGTAATGACAACTAGGTACACATTTTCTTCTATTGTTGGGTGATACGGGTCAAGCATGTAATATATTTTTTGGAAACTAGTTTGTATAATGTATAGTAGAATTTTTTTAGAATATGATTGGGAATTAAAGAATTATTTCAGCTAATGACAATAAAATTATATCATTTATAATTTTTTGGAAATATAAATTATAACAACAAAAGCAATGATCGACCAAAAATATTATGATTAATCAAAAAATTATAACTCACAAAAAAAAGAAGTTACAACTAATTCAAATATTTATGGTTAATGGGTTTTTGGTTCAATGATATTTCTTATTTTGTAAAGGTTTTATCTCCTTTAGGTCGAGGGCTCAAGTATTCCTCCTGCTATCCTTCCAAAAAAAAATATAATTAAACATAAATTAACTCAATTAATTGTAATTTCAATTTTAATTTTAAAAGTAATAATACAGTGAACAAGGGTTGGATTGAAAGACCTGCATATAAAGTCAATACGAATAAAATCTGGTGTTTGGAACACGGTTTCTACGCGCAATGCATCATTTGGATGCCTATTTTAGAAGCCATCGTATTCCGAAGGCAAAATGCCCAAAAAGGACTTAACCCGCCCAGTCATGAGTGTTACGAATCGAGAACCTTCCTCCTGCACTGAGGGCATCACAGTCAATTTATACAAGAAATGGTCCCTACCATAATAATAATCGCCACATGTCACGGACAATTCACAAATGGTACAGTAATATTATTTTAATTTAATTTATTGATATAATTAATCATAATTATTTTATTTCTCAAAAATATCCTAATTTCGACGTGCATTACTTATTTTTGATTGAATTAAAAATAAATTAATTAAAATATACACAAATTGATTTGAACACTCTTAACTATTGAAAGAGAAAAATTATTAAATTAATAAAATATTTTAGAAAATATTAAAAATAAATTTAATTTAATAATTATAAATAATTAATTTAATAAATAACATTACGGTGCACGACACAACACAGGGAACGCAACAAAAGGGTCACTATTTTTAGGCAAAGATGGAACTTATTACGGCCTGCATGAGTCAAGACCTCCCCCAAAAAGACAAGTTTCTCTCTCTAAAACTCTATCTCTTTATCCCTCTAAAAATCTGTTTCTCTCTCCAAAAGTCTCTTTTATTCTGTAGCCGTTCTTATCAGGGTAAGGCTGGTACTCTTGCAAGGCCACTTATAAGTACGGCCTTACCTCACCAAAGGAAGGAATATTTAATTTTTCCATTTAATATTATTATTCTGAGACACGCCTTCATCCAGAATATTAATTATTCTTTTTTTTTTATTTTCTTTTATTAAAAGTGTTGGTATCGTACCGTCCGCACTTGAATATGTCCTTCCTCGCTTGGGTTCTCCACCGAATACAATGGTCTTACATGCGACCCAAGATGAGAAAATGACTCTCTATTTCCCACAACTACCCTTCTCAACTCCCTCTATTTACAGCCATCCTTTTTCTGTCCTTTCCCGTACGGCAACTATCATTGACCTCTCAAATGACTCCACCGCCCTACCGTACAACACTAATTGACCATAATGCCTTTGTTAGCTCAAAAGTTAAAGACCCTTAATTAATTTCATTTTTTTCCTTGTTCTTATTTTTTTGTTTAACTGTTAAAAATATTCAAATTAATTTATGCGTACATTAATTAATCTCTTCTATAGTCGAATTAAAAATAGACTATTTATGTTACAACTAAGATATTTATAAAAATAAATCGCAAATGACATGTACAAATTGGATGAAATAGTTTTGATGTGATCTACAAATAACATCAAAGATTACTTTTTTAATAAGAAATTATTTTAATCCTTTCAAAATTTTCATCTAGACAAATCAATTATCATTTTAATAATTTGTTCAAAATTACTTTACAATATAATTACACTTCTACTCATATATGTACGCACTAACCATAAAAAGTTTTGTGATTTTATATGATAATTGACAAAATGATCCAATATTTGCAATTTTTTGCACTAATTTGTTTCCTTTGACAAGCTTTTTAATGACGGAATAACTTACAATTCAAATCATTCGATCAATTATTTTTTCCAATTTTTTTTTTTGCTCAATAGTCAAGGGTATCTAAATCGGTTTATGAGTAGTTCGATTAATATTTTTTTTAGTCTGATAAAAAACAAGCTATTCACACTCTATTATATAGAATAATTTTGTAGTGGAAAGTAAGGCCTATCAAATATTTTTTTCATTAGAATGTGATATCAATATTTGTTTTATGTTGATAAAGACAGTTTGAGTTTGAGACAAGTTGTCTGGTAAAATAAAACTAATATTCAAGAAATTAATAGCTTATTGATTATTTTCCTAATTTTAACTGCAAAAAGGGCAATGGTGCTTTTATGGGTTGGTGCTGAAGAGGGTAATTTTGTCTTTAAACAAAGAGCAGACGTAATCAAACCAAACTTTTGGAAAAAGCAAAGAAGGATAATGCTGTAATTTGGTTCGTCTTCTTCCTCACTCGGTTCTCAACTGCCCAAAACCAAACCCAGTGAGTGTTTCCTGTTAACGGTTACTTCTAAATCTTCCAACATATCTCTCATACCCTCTTTGTGCCTTATCGTCTCCATCTCCTTATTCTCCTATTCTCCAACCCCTCACCTTAAACATTTCTTTAACACCCTTTCTCTTCAGCTCCCAAAACAGCCCTTCAAACACAGATCTTAGAGAACCAACAAAGTCTCAAGGTTTGAGCTGTTTCAAACTCAAAATCGTTGGCGTTTGAAGCCTTTTTACAATGAAGAAGCAAAAATCAGTCGGTGAATCCATATACAACCACTTTGATGTTCTGTCTGAAGAAATAGTTTTTTCAATTTTAGATTGTCTTAATGACAACCCACTTGACAAAAAATCATTTTCCCTTGTATGCAAATCTTTCTATGCAATCGAGTCTAGCCACCGTAAAACCCTGAAACCTCTTCGTTCAGACCATTTAACCAAGATTCTAACCCGATACCCATACGTATCCCATCTTGATCTCTCTCTGTGTCCTCGAATCACCGATGGTTCCCTTCATTTCATCTCGGTTATTTGCAAAAACATGTTAAGGTCAATCGATCTTTCGATGTCAAAGTTTTTCACTCATGTGGGTCTGTCAAATTTGATGATGAATTGCACTAATTTGGTTGAGATTGATCTGTCCAATGGCACAGACTTGAGGGACTCAGCCGCAGCAGCTATTGCCGAGGCCAAGAATTTGGAGAGGTTATGGTTGACGAGGTGTAAGAGTATTACAGATATTGGGATCGGGTGTATAGCAGTTAGGTGTAAGAAGCTGAGGTTGCTAAGCTTGAAATGGTGTGTAAGTGTTGGTGATTTAGGGGTGAATTTGATTGCTGTCAAGTGTAAGGAGATTCGTAGCTTGGATCTCTCTTACTTGCCGGTAATGAAAATTTTCTTTTCTTTTCTTTTCTTTTGTTACTACGCTATATGATTGCAATTTTTTGTTTTTGTTTGTAGTGTTGTGATGTGAATCTAGTAGGTTTACTGAGTATGGTTCTTCATGATTGGCATGTTCTCTGCGTAGTTAGTTGTTATATCCATGATTTGATTTGGATCTAACAAGTTAAATAGGTATGGTTCTTAGTTTGATTAATATCATTCTTGCATTAACTATGATCTGATTGATGGTTTACTTCAATTCTTATTTTATGCTGTTACTATGTTTAATTGAGGGGAAACTCCACGATACCCAAAAAAATATTTTCAATACCGGTATGGTCGGTTACTAGTATACAGTAAAGTTCTTTACAATTTTGAAAGGTGAAGTTACAATTGCCAAGGGAGGTCATGGTCAATCACAAACACCCATGATCAATCATGAAAAAAGCGGTATTGATCCCAACATTCTATGATTGATCATGCCCATTGAAGCTATCTCTTCCACCTCAAAAAAAGTTATAACTTAATCTTAAAAAATTGTAATTTTCAGTACCAAAGAACTTCCCTTAATTGGGATGCTATTTTATTTTCCTTCTTGATGATTTGCATGGTGATAAGCCATCTATCTTAAGGGAATAGAGTCCCATCATAGCATACTTGATATCCAAAAACTTCACATTAGAAGTTTATAGTACTAGATTGATGGCATTTGTTTGTTGCAAGTGGAAATTAACGTTGCCAACCTGAAATGGCATGTCAGAAAAAGTCTGAATATATTTTCATGTTTCTTCTGTATGGTGCTAGAGTTGGGTAGTTCATGTATCAACAAGTTCATGTGTTTCAACAGAAAATTTATTTTTGGCAGCATTTTGTTTCGCATAACTTGATTTAATTTATTTTTTCATTTTGATGTTGCAGATTACAAATAAATGCTTACCATCGATCTTAAAATTGCAATATCTCGAGGATTTGGTTCTAGAAGGATGCTTTGGTATTGATGATGACAGCCTTGCAGCCCTTAAACAAGGGTGCAAATCGCTAAAGGTCTCTATCTATCTAACTTTGTTTAAGTAATTTGACTTACATTGCCCTCTCATCACATCCCTCTTGCTTAAATGAGAAGTTAGACACTGTTGTAATATCTGAAAGAAGAGAAAATTTGATGATTTATCCCTTTAACTATGCTTCTTTTTTCACATTTTATGATATGGCTGATTAACTGGCTTCATTTGCTTTCAATATTAGCTTAGTACAAAGTGGATAGCTTAAGCAATTGAGTTTGTGAATATAGTGAACAGTATCATAGGATGTATGGACTCTTTCACTTTTTCGGTTCAATAATGCTTTAAATTTATTGCTTAAAGGAATATTCTGTGCATTAGGAAACATCCTAAACTATTGTAGGAAGAATAATGGATTAGTCATCCTATTAGAAGTATTTTGTTTCTACTTCTTATTTGATTCTTAACGGATTAATCTTATGTTGTTTTTAACAGACTCTGGATATGTCAAGTTGTCAAAATGTCAGTCACGTTGGTTTGTCTTCTCTAACCAGCAGCACTGGATACCTACGGCAACTGATCTTAGCATATGGTTCTCCTGTGAGTCTTTTAACACATTTTCCTTATTGTAACAGTGTAAAGGTTTAAGCTTTGCTCATAGCCTCCAACTGTTGGTGCTTCAGGTAACTCTTGCTCTGGCTGATAGTTTGCAGAAGCTTTCAATGTTGCAATCAATCAAACTTGATGGTTGCTTGGTTACATGTTCTGGGCTCAAGGCCATTGGAAACTTGTGTATATCACTGAGGGTGCTAAGCTTAAGTAAATGCTTGGGAGTGACAGATGAAGGTCTGTCCTCCCTTGTAACAAAACACAAAGAGTTGAGGAAGCTAGACATTACTTGTTGCCGCAAGATAACTCATGTTTCAATTGCCCACATTACAAATTCTTGTGCCTCCCTTACATCCCTCAGGATGGAATCATGTACCCTGGTTCCAAGAGAAGCTTTTGTTTTGATTGGACAGCGTTGCCTTCTTCTTGAGGAGCTTGACCTTACCGATAATGAAATTGACGATGAAGGTTTGCCCCTTTAAGCACTCAATGTAATTTGGATACTACTTATTGGTGACTTGGTATGCTCATGTCATTTGTATGTGCAGGCCTGAAGTCCATCTCAAGGTGTTCCAAACTCTCCAGCTTAAAGTTAGGAATTTGCCTGAACATAAGTGATGAGGGGCTTACCTATATTGGCATGTATTGCTCAAAGCTTATAGAGCTCGATTTATACAGGTTTGCAACTTACTTTCCAGGACTTCAGTGGATTATCTTTGTTTCTCTTATGGAAGTGATGCAACGTGAACATGGACTTCCTTAGTTGTTTTTGGATTGGTAATGGTGAATTCCTGTTGGATCATCTGCTCTGAACAATTTTGAAAATAATTTTCTTCTGACTGAAAAGTCATTTTCTTCTATGTTGTATGAACAGTGGGGAAATTATATTATAAAACTAAACTGCTAATTTATGGAATTAGATCAGATAGTAAAATTGTTTCTTTTTGGTTTCTTTTCTAGGTGGTGGGATGGGGGTTGGGGGTAGTTGGAGAATTGTTATTTATTATTCAGCAAATGATCCCAGGCTGCAACTCCAAGTAGGTTTTTTGAAATATGCAGTCACCTGATTAAGCTTCAGGATTCTGCATCAGTTAGGCAAACAAAATTTATTTGTGAAAGAGTAGCTGTCTAAGGGTGAAAGTTGGTCATTGGTTTGACCTGCTATTTTTTATCCAATTGTTACTTCTTAGAGTCATTACACTATTTTCTTTGTAATTGAATGTGGTTCTTTTGTTCAGATCTGCAGGAATTACGGATTTGGGTATTTTACCCATTGCTCGTGGTTGCACTGGCCTTGAAATGATTAATATGGCCTATTGTACAGAGATTACTGACCACTCCTTGATATCATTGTCAAAATGTGTCAAGTTAAACACACTTGAATGTCGAGGGTGTCCTCTTATCACGTCCTTAGGTTTAGCAACTATTGCTGTTGGATGCAAGCAACTCACCAAGCTTGACATTAAGAAGTGCCACAACGTCAATGATGCTGGAATGATTCCACTAGCTCACTTTTCTCAAAACCTCAGACAGGTACCGTGCTTCTCCTGTCTCCACGTTCTGTAACAAAATAGGCCTTAAAAGAACATGGCATCTAACAGTGGCCATTCTTTCAAACATATGCAGATAAATTTGTCATACACCTCTGTCACAGATGTGGGGCTCTTGTCCCTAGCCAGCATCAGCTGTCTACAGAGCATGACTATCCTCCACCTGAAGGGTTTAACTCCACGTGGACTAGCAGCTGCACTGTTGGCATGTGGAGGACTAACAAAAGTGAAACTCCAGGCATCCTTTAGATCATTGTTCCCACAACCCCTTTTTGAACATCTAGAGGCCCGTGGTTGTGCTTTTCAATGGAAAGATAAAGTGTTTCAGGTACGTTTTTATATGTCATTACGTCCACCAACTTTCCCTTTATTCTTTTGTTTGTCGATTTGAAGCCTCATTTGATATTCTAAAAATTCAAAAATTAATAGATGTTAGTGTCTTTCCGCTTTACGCAAACATTGGTTGACCTATCTAAGAAGCTCCCTTCTGTTACTCTGCTGAAATTTATTCTAATTAAGGATTTATGTTAGAACTGTGAATCTGGTATGGATATCTAGCTTCTATTTGTGACTGAATATTGTTGTTGAAGTCATTTTTTGTATGATTGACAGGTTGAATTAGACCCAAAGTGCTGGAAGCTGCAATTGGAAGATGTAGAATAGAGACTGCTGAAGCTTATGTTCGGCTAAGAAGGGTAGGCTCTCGTCTGTGGGTAACCACTTTCTGAAGCTTCCATTAGCTTGACTAGTATATGTTGCCCACCTCAAAGGGAAAAGTGCAACATGCAAATCCTGGTTGGTAGTATTGTTAGACTTTAGCAGTTCTCATAACTCGAGTTCAATGCTGTAGTGGATCATGGCGTTTAAGTAAGTTTAATCAAACGTCAGGTGACCGAATTGTTTAAGAGATTTGAGAGTATCTTACTCCAACTGTCATGGATGGAATCCAATGTTCTATTCTGATTAACCTACAGATTGGTTTTGTAATTGCGGTTTGAATAGTGTTATATTATGGTCAGTCAGACCTTTGTTAAAAGCAGAGGTTTACAACAACGACAATTATGTTTGTGCATTTCTTTCTGAGTATAGATCATGTGAAACAGCTTCCACTTATTTGTATATTTCATATTGTGGCGAAGAGATCATAAGGTTTAGGTTTTAACTGCATAAGACGGCGTAAATTTGCAAGCTGCAGGCATGACAACAGTCTTAGTAAAAAATTCTGAAGAACTCCTCTGCAGGACCCATATGAATGTGTTGTCCATGTGCACCAACATGCTTATGGCTTCTTTTCCAAAAACAAGATTATCCCTTCCCCTACCTGTCTCCTGGTCGAGCTTGTGTATGTATACGTTAGTAATATCCTGTCTATCTTGTGTGGGATGGGTAAGTGCCTTTCTCACCTCTTGTGAGTTGTCTGTATTGAACAGTTAGATTTAGTTTAATCTGAGCTCTAAGGCTTCGGGGAATAGGATTTGAGGATAAGTAGGTGATCACGCAGAGCGTTTATTAGTAGTTCACCAGTTTGGAAGTTCGGCTAATTTACTCACAATAGAGTCTCTTACTCCTAAATATGTTGATTACTGTGTGCAGTTTACAGAGAGTGTATTTGTAAGGCTACAATGGCTTATTTTTCTACTTTTGAGGGTTTTGTCTCCTATTTATAGCTATTCCTAGACTTTGCTTGATCTGAGGTGAGATCTTCGCTCCTCCCTTGTAACGGTTGCCCTTATTGCGCAACGAGACTTGCGCTTGTTGGGTGATTGATGCCACAAAAAGGGAGACTCGGTGGGGTCCAGCTATCATTTGCACAGCCTTTCTCGAAATGTGGACATGGGGAGTTGAGGTCTGAGGTCGAGGTCTGTAAATAATATTGATGAGCTGAGCTCCTGACCCAAGTAGCATGACTTGGGTTATTGAGCTCATTCTTAGGTATTTTGTGGTACCATCAGTCCCCCCCCCCCCCCAAAACCTAGTCCCTAGTCAAACAGGTTGATTTGATCAGGGATTATGCCATGAGTAAGGTTGCCTAGGTCAATCTTGATTAGCGCAAGATGGAACTTCATTTTGATGGGTATGGCGAACGTGTAATCATTCTTTCCTCATTTCTCGCTAACGTCCCTTATTTCGAGGGTCCACGTATGCTTGGCTTTAAATGCATTATAGAAGAAAAAATCGCCTTTCATTTCCTTGAACCTTCTTCACATTCTGTCTTCAGACTTTATTTCTTCTCTTTTTCCCTTGTAACTTCATCTTTCCAAATTTGCTGAAGATCTAGGGTTTTCAGAAAAATTCTCAATTTTTCTACGAAGGTTTTGTGTGGTTGGCCTAATCTGTTCAGACTTTCTCTTGGTTCCTGGTTTGTCGATCGTTCTCAGCTAGGTACGTCACTTGCTTTGCTCCCTCTTCTTCTCTTTCATTCTGGATCCCTCGAATTCGAAGTGGTTGTTTAATTTCTGGACTTTTCATTTTTGTTACTTTAGGAATCGTTACTTTAGGAATCGAGGTCTTACCTTGTCCTTTCGTCCTCTCTTGTTGGATCCCTACTCCACTGCTAGAGTCTTTCTCTTCGGTCGCTGGTGTCTTGACCCTTCGGCTTTTAGGGATTGCTTTACTCGCATTTTCTCTCTTTATAGTTCTTTCAATCTTCATTTCTCTTGCCCAGTTATATCTACCTCTTTCGAAGCCACTACTCCGTCTGTCTCTCTTGCCACGGGTTATAGGTCTCCCGAAATAGAGGAGGATGACCTAGGGGATGTAGGCAACGAAATAGACAATTTTCCTAGGGTTGATGCCGAAGAAAGGGTAGAAGTGCCTATGTCTTTACCAGGGTGTTCTTCAACTTCTAAGCAATCTTGAAAAGGAAAAGCTAAAAAGAGTAGAGCTAGACCTTTAGATAGTGTTGAGGGCTCCGAACCCGTTCCTCGCACTTCAGACATAATTGGTCATGGTGAGGTTACACCTCCTTTTATGAGCGTCATGTCTATGAGGTTTGGCTTTCCCAGAGGCTTGTGCTATTAGATTCCTTTTGTAGATATTAGGTATGATTCTAAGGCTCTTGAGAAGACCTGCTTCTTCGTAACCTCTCTAGAAAATGGTCTTTGGTTCACTATACACCTCTTCATCAAATCTGTTCTCTAGCACTTCAATGTCTACCTTGCCCACTTCTCCTCCAACTTTTGAGGTGTCCTGGTGCGCCTCCTTGTCTTTTTTAAGTTCAATACCCCCTCGATTCCTTTGCTAATGAAATACTTCAATGTCAAGTTTCAACCTGACGGCTTTTTGTACATCTCCAAACGGGTGAAGACCCTAGCCTTGATCACTGACCTGCTTAGCTCTCACAAAAATTGGACAAAACTATTTTTCTTTGTGTCAGAGAAGGAATGGGAGTTTGACCTGAGCAATGCCAATGATATCCTTTCTGTCCCTCACTCTTGGTCAGGTCCTGACAACCTGGTGAGTCTTTGTTTAGGGCAGGCTCATTTTGTTGTATTTCTCTTGCTTACCTCATTTCCTTAGGTTGTTTCAGGTATTCGCTTCGAGCTTAGAGTTGAAGACAGACTTGCTTTGGTAGGGCTTGAAGATTGCCGCCTGGAGAGGTATTCGGACTTGATCAAGCATTCTGTGCTTATTGAGCTAGGGTTCAGCCCTCCCGAGGTGAGAGTTAAGACTCCGATTCCCATATCCGTTGTTGGTGTAGAAAACCTTGCTGGTAAGATTCTTTCTCCTTGATCTTCTGGTTTTTCTTTTCTTTCTTTTTGTGTTAGCTGACCTGTTTACTTTCTCAGGCTCTAGCTCAATGGCTCTAAACGTCGAGGCTATGAAAGCTAAGATTACTGAGATGAAGGGTAAAGCTAAGCGCAAGGTTGGAGCAGGATTTGGGCTTGAGCCCCGTTCAAAGGAGCAGAGGATAGAGGTGTCTCATCCTCCTTCCCAGACGGTTCTTATGCCCCTACCGAGTTTACCAAAGACTTCCTTAACTTCTCAAGGGATCTTTCTCCCTTTCCTCATAAGGGCTTCTGGACAAGTTGGGGCCTCCTCTTCTCCTTTGTCGGCGGAGGTCGCAGAGGCTCTGGAGTCTGTTGCTCCTTTCTTGTGAGGGCCTCCCCCCTCGACCTCCTGAGAAGACTCGTCGTCTGCTTGTGGAGGGTTTGTTGGCAAAAGTCGAGAAAGGCAAGCGCTCACTTATCAGGAATGTGGGTCTTACTGTTGAGGCCATCCCTTTGGTTATCCCTGACTCGGATATTCAAGAGGTTGCTACTATTCCTCTTTATACTGTTGCCACTACCGCTTTATATGGTGCCGCTTCGGTAAGTTTTTGATTTCGTCAAGCTTTACCTATGCTTTGTGTCGTTGCCTTTGTACTGTCTTTGATTTTTCTTGTATTTCTCTCAGCTGACTATTCATGTAAGCGCTCTAGTGAGCCGTGTCCGAGCTCTAGGAAGCACAGTTGAGGAGGCTCAAAGGGCTTGGAGGGCGTCTAAGCTCAAGATTTTCGAGTTGAGCTTTTCTAATGACCTCAAAGCTCAGGTTGAGGGGCTGACTTCTACCAACAAAGGTTTGGAGGCTAAAACCAAAAAAGCCAAGGATGAGCTCAAACTGAAGGTAGACAACTTGCTCCAAGCTCGCAAGAATGTCTTAGAGGCCCTTGAATCCTTTGATACAATGAAAAAGGAGTATGACATATTGGCTGAGGTCAATGCTACTCTGCTAAAGGAGGTTGAGGTTGAGAGGGCTGCAGCTCGGGAGAAGGATACTCTGATTACTAATCTTAAAGATGAGGCTGCTACCAATTGTGCCATCGGGTACCTTGCTTTTCAAGATCAGCCTGTGGAGAGGTACCCAAATCTGGACTTCGAATTCGACCTTCCTTTGGATAAGGAGAAGGAGAAGTCAAGTGTTGAGAAGGAGGCAGAGGCCTCAGCTTTTACTGTTGCTCCTGTTGAGGTCTTGGTTCCTGGTGATGTCCCTGTTGATCCTAAGGCTCAAACTCCTGGGGTGACTTTGCCATCATCTAAGGTTGAAGTTCTTGCTCCGGTCCTTGCTGAGGCTCCTTTCTCTTCAACTGATTCTTTTGCTCCTAGGCCATCTGGGGCTTCTCTTCCTACCGCTAAGTTGCTAGAAGACGCTTCTGATCCTACTACAGGGACTTAAATTTTTTGAGAAATTTCTGTTTTTTTAGAAGATCTTATATTTTGCTTTTTGAGAAATGAAAATATTCTTTTGAAGTTGTTTTGTACTTTTGTTCTTCTCCTCTGCCCCTAGCTTCAAGAAGAACTCTGATCTTTTGGAAGTGAATCTGAAACTTTTTTTCAAGTATGAGATCTTCCCTTGTGTCTACTGAGCTTTAGCTATTTGGTAGGGGCTTCTTCGCTGTTGATGAACTCATCTAAGCATTGGTAGAGGTGTTTATCCTTTTTTTTTTTGCGAGCTGAAGAGTTCGTTGACAACTTATGAGTTGAAGAGCTCATCAAGTATTTGTGAGCTGAAGAGCTCATCGAATTTATAGCTTATGAGCTGACGAGCTCATCAAGTACTTATGAGTTGAAGAGTTCATCAAGTTTTTGTGAATTGAAGAGCTCATCCTTGGTTTATGAACTTCTTTTGACTCTCTCCAGCTGTTGCTCTTGAGCTGCTTGAGGTCAATGGTGAGGACTTTTGCATCTCTTATGTTCTTGCTTTGCATCTTGTCTTTTCCCCTTCTGCTATAAAGAAGTCTTTAGCAATACAGGGATTGTTTTTTGTGCCCACCTACCTTTTTAAAGCGCCAGTTTCCCTACCCGTCGACATGATTATGGAAGTCTAATGGCCGCCTCTTCGTCTTCTTGTGTTATTTGCTTCCTTAAATCATAGGATTCCTTATTCTTCGCCTAAAGCTTGAGATTTCTTTATTTTTTGCAATCTTCTTTTGATTCTTACTTTCTGCTTTCTTTTTTGCCTCATGGTTTCTTCTCCTTCTCCACTGTTCAAACAACGAGCCCAGGCCATGTTAGATGTGCCCTGGTACACTATGTTTCAGCTTCTTTCCTTGATTATGGCTTCAAAGGTGGAGGAAGTTAGGTGGCGTTATCTTCTTCCTAATGCCTTGACCATCCACCTCCCAACCTCTGATGAGCCCTACAACCTTTTCCTTCAATGGGAAGTTTGTTTCTTCGAAGGCGTTTTTGAGATGGGTCTT